GAGAGAGAGAGAGAGAGAGAGAGAGAGAGAGAGAGAGAGAGAGAGAGAGAGAGTGTGTGTGTGTCTGTGCACGTGTGTGTGCATATTCAATTAGAGTGTTGAGCAAGAAATGAGATCAGAGACGCTTTTCACATGTAAATTGTCCAAGGGGTGTGAACTGTACGGACGTCATCAGGGCACAGTGCTGCAAAGGCACGAAAAGCAGGGCCAGGCGGGCGCTGGCTGGAGGCCCTGCTGAGTGTGCCTGCAGCGCCAAGGTGCGCCCAGAAACGAAGGGCAGGCCGGCACGCTCCGTCAACTTGCAAGCAGTCCCTCCATGCATGGCCGTTGTTGTGTGTCTGCATCGCAAAGAAAGCGTCCGCAAATGCACGCGCGCCGACCAGCGCGGGGGCGCGGGGGCGAGGGGGCATGGGCGGTGGCGGGAGTAGGCGCCCGCACCTGCAGCAGCGCGACGCGGCGGCGCTCGTAGTACTGCAGCCTCATGCCGAAAAACTCGGTGAGGATCTCCTCCGGCGACTCGTAGCGGCGGATCTTGCCCTCCGCGTCAAACAGCATCATGTTGCCTGGATGGGCAAAGGGGGGAGGGCAGCGGGGACGGCAAAGGGGCGGGGCGAGGGCGCGGCGTCGTCAGTGCGCAGGTCTGGAAGTGTTGCTGCATGTGGTGTGAGGTGTCTATGCCGGTGGCATTTACGTTCAAACAGGGCGGGGGCGGTGTTTTGCTCGCTGCTTCCCCTTGGTGTCGCGTGTAGGATGGAGGCAGGGGGGGGGGTGTTGAGAGCTGGGCCAGGGCAGTGGCGTGTGTCACTGCAGGCCCACCCGTGGAGATCTTGCTGCTGAGCTTGAGCTTGGCCTCCAGGCCAGCGGCCATGAGGTCAGGCATCTTGGCCGGCACCACGTCACACGAAAAGTGCACCTTTGGGGGAGACGGGGAGGCGGGACGGGGCGGGGGTGAGTGGCACGGCCTGGGACAGGATGGGCTGTGTGAGATGGGATTGCACAATTGAGCACAGGCTGTGGCGTATGTCAGGGGTTCCAGGGGGCACGCAGGGCTGGCGAGCGGCAGGCTGGCAGCCCGTCGGGGCACACGGCTCCAAGCGCCGCGCCGCCAGGGGCGCGGGCCGCGGCGGCCGCCCGCCACTGGCGG